TTGTTTCCTATCATTGCAATACCGTTTGTGCTCACTTTTATCATTAGTTACCTTGCTGTTTTTATATTTTCAGATTACAAAAACCTTTATCTACCATCCATATACCACTTGTATCACCATCTCTTCGCCGAACTAGTGCACCTATACAATTTACCGTTGTATTGGGTGTGTTGGGGACACAAGAAACTCTTTGTTATTTGGTTGCAGGGTTGCTTGAGAGAGACCATCTTCATCCTACGCCTCCTACAGATTGATAAACCTTAGGTCATCCACTTGAGGGAAATTTGCTACTGTCCTGCAAACCTCTGCATTTGGAGGCCCAACAACGTCTACAAGAAGAAGGTTGTGTAGTAGACATCAACACCCACCAACCACCTTTATGCAAAACTAGTTGCATGTCAGTCGGTGGAATTGGTCTGATGTGCGTGGACATGTAAGGTTGGTCCGGGACGCTTCATCCCACAATACCGCCGAATCAGAATAAGACGTTGGTGGTAAGCAGTATGAATATCACCGCCTACAACTCTTTGTGTTCTACTCATGCATATCTTCTACGCATAGACCTCACTCGGATGCCACTGTTGGGAAACGTTGCATGAAAAAAGATCTACGCACACGCAAGATCTATCCATGGAGATGCATAGCAACGAGAGAGGAAGAGTGTGTCTACGTACCCTCGTAGACTGTAAGCGGAAGCGTTTTACAACGCAGTTGAAGTAGTCGAACTTCTCCGCGTTCCAACCGATCGAGCATCGAACGTACGACACCTCCGTGTTCAACACACGTTCAACTCGATGACGTCCTCCGCCTTCTTGATCCATCAAGACGGCGAGGTAGTGGATGTGTTCCGCCAACACGACGACATGGTGACGGTGATGGTGAAGCTATCTACGCAGGGCTTCACCTAAGCACTACAAAAATATGATCGGGGGTGTAAACGGTGGAGGGGGCGCCGCACACAGCTGGGCAATTGGTTGTTGTGTGCTAGGCGTCCCCTCCCACAGATATATAGGTGGGAGGGAGGGAGGAGCAGCCAAGGGGGGCGCCAAAGTAGGAGGAACCCTACTTGGGGTCTCTCGCAAGCCGCACCCCCTTTCCTTATTTCGAATGCGGGAGGAAGGAAGGAGGAGGTGGCGCCCCCCTTTCCTTTCTCCCCTGAGGAGGGAAAGGCAGGAGGGGACACCCCTTCCCTTTCCTTCCCCTTAGGGCCGGCCAGCCATGGGAGGGGCGCACCAGCCCCCTTGTGGGCTGGTCTGTCCCCTCCTTTGGCCCATAAGGCCCATATCTTCCCCCCGGGTGGGTGCCCGAAACCCCTTCTCGTGACCCGATTTCTTCCGGTACGTCCCGAAACACTTCCAGTGTCCAAATACCATTGTCCTATATATCAATATTTACCTCTCGGCCATTTCGAGACTCCTAGTCATGTCCATGATCTCATCTGGGACTCCGAACAACATTCGATCACCAAATCATATAACTCATATAACACTATATCGTCAACGAACGTTAAGCGTGCGGACCCTACGGGTTCGAGAACTATGTAGGCATGACCGAGACACCTCTCCGGTGAATAACCAATAGTGGAACCTGGATGCCCATATTGGCTTCTACATATTCTACGAAGATCTTTATCGGTCAAACCGTTGTGAAAACATACATAATTCCCTTTGTCCATCGGTATGTTACTTGCCCGAGATTCGATCGTCGGTATCTTCATACCTAGTTCAATCTCGTTACCGACGAGTCTCTTTACTCATTCCGTAATACATCACCTCGTAACTAACTCCTTAGTCATTTGCTTGCAAGCTTATGATGTGTATAACAGAGAGGGCCCAGAGATACCTCTCCGATACTCGGAGTGACAAATCCTAATCTCGATCTATGTCAACTCAACAAACACCTTCGGAGATACTTGTAGAGAACCTTTATGATCACCCAATTACGTTTTGACGTTTGATAGCACACAAGGTATTCCTCCGATTTCCGGGAGTTGCATAATCTCATAGTCAAAGGAATATGTATTTGACATGAATAAAGCAATAGCAATGAATTGAGCGATCAATATGCTAGCTAATGGATAGGTCTTGTCCATCACATCATTCTCCTAATGATGTGATCCTGTTATCAAATGACAACACATGTCTATGGTTAGGAAATCTTAACCATCTTTGATCAACGAGCTAGTCTAGTAGAGGCTCACTAGGGATACGGTATTTCTTTATGTATCCACACATGTATTTAAGTTCCAATCAATACAATTCTAGCATCAATAATAAACCATTATCATGAATAAGGAAATATAAAATAACAACTTTATTATTGCCTCTAGGGCATATTTCCTTTAGATTGTACTTGTAGATTTTAGATAACTATATATAGAATGTTAGTTTTTTACTAACTTGTTAGGTATTCGCACAATCAAACATGGAGCCAAAGTTTCATGGTGTGCAACAGAAGGGGAACAAGTGGTATGCAATGATTTGAAAAGAAAATGTGGCACATGAGCTCGACCACTGGGACACACCCGATCTAGTGGCACACGCCTACAATGCCAAGGCGGTCGAGCTCTTTCCAGATAGGGCCAAGGTTAACTTCCATGAGGAACAATATCACGTGTGGTTCCTCGTGCCGAAGAAAATTAGAATATGCTCTAATGCCAAGGAGAAGGAGAACCTTCAGGCCGAGATGTAGTTGTTCGCCCCCTTGGTGAGTCTTGCAGCGGAGTAGCAAGTCGTGGAGCAGAATAAGATAAAGTTGCTTCAGTTTGAAGCTCAGAAGAAAGCAATGGATTATCCCATAACTGGGATGAGTTTACGAGAAGTGATGGGCAAGGGGGTTCGTAGGTCCAGTAGGTACGACCACGAGGCCGCCCCCTTCGGCATAGTGGGGGACACCGACTAGATGGGAGGGCTAGTTTGTTAATTAGCTGGTTTAACTTTATGTTTGAACTATATGCATGGTTTGTAGAATTGTTAGTAATGTTTTAAACTAGCCATCTCCAATATATTAGCAGTGTTTTAAACTAGCTAACAATATATGTTTTAAACAATTAGCAATGTTTAAGTACTAGAGTGTTTAAACTATCTCCAGTATATGAACCTAGCGCTATACATATCTATGTGTTATGTTCGTCATTTTGGATGATGATTTATGTTTATTTTGTCAACACAAATGCAGTATAAATGGATCACCCGTGTGCAACCTGTGGTGCAGTGAGATGCCAGAAGGACAGGATGTTCTTCGTAGATCTTCCAAATGACTTCCAAACTATGACGGTACGTTTTATAGTTCAACATGTTCTGATTGAGTTTCATATGGTTGTGCCCCAAATTGTGTAACTGTGCTTTCTTTTACATTTGCGGGCAAGGCGTGACTTCTCAGAAAATTACGTGTTCCGCTTGATGCAATCATGACATTTCAATGCACCCTCATGAAGATGATGATGGCCCACAACTTCACTTGTCTTGTCACTAACGAGCCACACCATACCTATCTCGGGTGTCCTGGTTGGAGAGCCCTCGCACATACTTACAGGATGGAAGCTAAGGAGAGGGCCACGTTTGCACGGCAAATCATATTTAGTTGAACATGTGTGTTACTTATCTCTAGTTAGTACTTTGTTGAACTATGTTAATTAGTATATTATTGAACTTAAACGTTGTTCTGTCAAAACTGATTTTATTGCTATTCATAAGCTGAATTATGCTGTCATTTCGCTTGAAAAGTGCTGCTGCATAACTTTTACTCCCTCCTTTCATCTATATAGGACCTAATGTATTTTCCGAGGCTAACTTTGACCAAGTGTTAGAGCAATAATATATGACATGCAAGTTATACAAAGCATACAATCAAATTCAGACATGAAGATATAATTTTCACATTATACATCTCATATATTATTAATCTTATCAAAAGTCAAAAACGGTGTTGAAAAACGCATTAGGCCCTATATAGACGAAAGGAAGGAGTATTTTATATACCTAAAAAGTATATTGCTGACGTGGCGCCAACATGATATGTCCATAGTGATGAATATCAGAGATGATGTTGCCATGATATGTCCAAGTAGGCTTGGCCCTTGTTATATCGGTATTCGTCCGGTTTTTCACTAACTAAATGGACAATTTTCTTGTACTTACTTAATAGATGAGATAAAGTTTTTGCTTCCGTTTCAAAAAAAAAATATTAAGGATGATGTTGGACACGTGGCAGCCATATTGATAGTGTTGGATGCCAACGCCACCAAGGCTCTTGTTTCTCGTCAGCACTGGGTTTTTCTGCACCAGTGATCTGTTCGATGGTGCGTGCAGGGCCAACCGATCGAGCTGGCCGAATCCTGGTCACATGCCAATCCTGTAAAAGCTAGCGGGACGTTGAAACTTCTTCATATTTCCTGTCAAAAATCCCTGCAGCGATGCGATATGTCGCGTCCATCTGGCTGATTCGGGAAGCAGCCGCTCTGTAGCTTGTACGGCCGTACAGTGTCTCCATAGATCGTGTGGCCAAGAGGGAAGGAGCCTCTAATGGTTAGATATTTGTAGCGCATAGTGCAATCGGTCGACTAGAAGCACTGTTCATCAGCCAGTCGTGGTGGGGACGAACGTAGGTCTAGACGGAACTTAGCTGCGTCGACATGTCATCATCGTACAGAGATGGCCATCACCGTGGAACCCAAACGCCCCAGCGCCATTCGTCGACCAGCAGCACCACCGAAAATATCAGGCGCATTCTGCTTCCATGACCAGCTGCCGCGTGCCCCCTCGCCCATCTGCCCTGCTGCGTCACGCATAACTATAAATGAGCGCACTCTGCACACCGCACCCAACTACCCAACACCTCAAGCACACTCCGCACACCACACTCGACTGCCCAACACGTACCTCAACCTCAAGCCAACCATACCGCAAAAAAAGGGAAAAAAAAAAGAAGAAGAAGCTCAAGCTCAAGCTCAACTAGAGTGACCACATTCCACCAAGCGATCGGCACTCCGGCAGCTAGCAATGGACTTTGGTATCAACGGCTGGATCAGCTCCCCTTCCTCATCGACGTCCGGGCACGAGCTCGGGGATGCGGTGCCCGTGTGGTCGCCGGCGGCGAAGCGGCCCGCAGGGCGCACCAAGTTCAAGGAGACGCGCCACCCGGTGTACCGTGGCGTGCGGCGCCGGGGCAGCGCGGGCCGGTGGGTGTGCGAGGTGCGCGTCCCCGGCAAGCGCGGCGAGCGGCTCTGGCTCGGGACGTACGTCGCCGCCGAGTCCGCCGCGCGCGCTCACGACGCCGCCATGCTCGCCCTGCTCGGACGCTCCCCCTCCGCCGCGGCGTGCCTCAACTTCCCGGACTCCGCGTGGCTGCTGGTCATGCCCCCGAGGCTCTCCGACCTGGCCGACGTCCGGCGCGCGGCCATCCAGGCCGTCGCGGGCTTCCTGCGCCTGGAGGCCGCCACCGTGGTCCCGGACGTCGACGAGGCCACCTCCCCTGTGTACCTGCCGTCGCCCGTGGACAATGCGGACGAAGTGTTCCAGGTGCCGACTTTCTCCCCGCTGGGCAGCGACATGTTCGAGCTCGACATGTCCGGGGAAATGGACCTGGACGCGTACTACGCGGGCTTTGCCCAGGGGATGCTCCTGGAGCCGCCGCCCACGCCAGCGTACTGGGAGACCGGAGAGTGCGGCGACGGCGGAGCGGCCGCCGGCCTCTGGAGCTACTGATGTCTGTAACCTCCAGTGGGTTCACACTGAGGATTTTTGCTATCCCGATTGGACCAACTGCAAACTGCTCCAAGCATAATAAAAATCGGAGTTTGGAACGTCGACCCGTTTGTCAATTCTTTGTTTGAATCGTCGATCAAGTGTTTTACACGCATGCTGCAAGAAACACCGCCTGAATGTCACTGTCGGTAGAGAAGTAATCGTTCCAAACGGGTTTGCAGAATGGTTCCAAACTAAGGTGCCGTTCGTTCACGTGTGCTCATCATGACGGACCAACCAGAACGTACCAGAAATATCTTACGAGTAATGCACAAGGGGTGTGTGTCTGGGGCTAATTCTTGGCCCATGCGGGCCATGAGCGCTGTCGCTTCACTCATTAGCCATTAGTGGGGTTGTTGAATAATGGAGGTGAGGAAGCACGTGCTCTCGCCAATTAGAGGGGAGATGCGAAAGATGTGGTATGTCGCTTTGGTTGGGTTGGATATTTTGATACTACAGTGCTAGATTTTCTTCGGGACAAAAGATCTAGCGTTAGCCCGCGAATGATCTGCGAGCAGTTCTTGAATTCCGAGAGGATTTGCTATTCTAGGTTGATCCGAAAATAGATTTTGTTGTAAGCCAAGACAAATCGCAACCTGAAGGGTGGCAAAGCTTTTGGCCTGGGTTATAACCAGATCCGAACTTTGAGTTCATAAAATTTGATTAAAAAACATAAAATCTGGGCTGAGTTCATAAAATTTGATTAAAAACATAAAATCTGAAAAGAGTTCACATTTTTAATCAAATTTAAAATGCTAGTTGAGAAAAGTTCGCGAATATTTGCAAAAGAAAACGTGAAAATTTAAAACTTCACAAATTTGAGAAAATTTCATGAATTTGAAAAACACAAAACTTGAAAATTTCAAAAGTTCATGAAGTTTGGAAAAAAGTTCATGTTGGAAATACTTGTGACATTTTGAAAAAAATCTTGAATTTGAAAACATCTCGTGAAATTTGAAAAAAATTCACGAGCTAAACGTTCATGCACTTGAAAAAGTTCACGGGTTTGAAACAGGAAATTGTTAGTGAAAAGTGAAATTTAAATAAAAAAGGAAAAGGAAAAGAAAGAGAAAAATAAATAAGGAATAAAACCCCGCCCAATAAAAGCACAGAAAAACAAAAAAAAAACTGGTCGCAAAACATAGCCAAAAGAAAACCCACTACAGCTACAGTCCTAAAAAGGACCGTCGCGCTCGGTCGGAGGGCTGTGCGCTGGGTTTTTTTTTTGCGGGCCTGTGCGCTGGTTAGTGAATGACATTATAACCGGCGCTTATGTCCGCAACGGTCTTGCCTATTTGGCCCAGAAGGCTGACGCCTGCGTAGACACAGTTTTTTTTTTTTTTTGCATCTAAACACACTGTTTTATTACTCTAAAATGTTGATAGGGATACAATTCAAGTCTGGAGGGTTTATAAGCCACAAATGACGCCCTAAGTCCAGACCAAAGGTGTGCTTAACAAGGCTATGCGCCTCAAGATTAGTACCGTGACCTTCGAAGATGAAGGTGCATTGCTGAAATTGCTCGGACGTATTTCTTATTTCCTTCACTATGCTTTCATACATACCTCCCGTGCCTAGCTTGATGTCGTTCACCACAACTTTACAATCTGAAGCAACAAGTACATTTGGCAGCCCAAGATCCAGGGCTAGAGCAAGCGCCTCGCGACAAGCTAACGTCTCGAGAGTCCCCGGGTCCATGATACCCGAGACTTTGATGGCTGATGAGCCCAAGTATTTGCCATCATGGTCCCTGCATATTGCACTATAGGTTCCTTCCTTCGCAGATCTTGAAACAGCACCATCGACTCGAATTTTTGCTATACCTTCAGAGGGATGGACCCATCTTGATATGGCGTTGTTGCTGGATGTATTGGCCACTTGCTGCATCTTCTTTGGTCTACACTCTTCAAGCTCACGGATGTACTTCATAATAAAATGATGAATAGCCAGCGGACTCTGGAAAATATGTTCATATAGGGCTTGTCGCCGAGAATACCAAATGGCCCAAAGGGTAGTTAAAACCTGAGTGAATTCAGCTGTAAGAAGAGACTCCGTGAGTGCAAAAATCCACCGCTTTGCATCAGGTTCGGTGGTCTCATTCAAAACCTGAAACAGATCAGGATCTTGAAGAGCCCATACACACCTAGCAACATTGCAGTGAATGAGCGAGTGTTGCCATGAATCTTCTGCTCCACATAAGCCACAAGTTGTAACAGTGGACATGTTCCTGTGATGCAAAAGGTCAGTTGGTGCATAAACAGTAAGAACTCCTGTCTGACGCTCGTTAGCGTCAGGCAGAGTAGCTTTCGATGAAGGTAGATACAGATGGACCAGCCCATTTAAAGGCCAGTAGCTCGAGCGCGTAAAAAAACGCCAAAAATACCCCGCGCCAGAGAGAGATCCAACACGAGACGTCCCGCTCGGAAATTTTATAAGCAAACCAATCGAGCTGAAACCTTGTACTGGTTTGCAAGCAGCGCAAGAGCTTAAAGTACACGACAACATTTGAAAATTTACGAACAATTCAAGAAAGTCGAGAACAAAAAATTGAAAATTCTGAACAAAATTTGACAAACACGAAACCCTTTTTCAAACCATGAACAATTTTTGAAATTTGAACAAACTTTTCAAACGTGAATAGTCATTAAAAATTTGAACAAAAATTTCGAAATTCAAAAAGATGAACAATTTTCAAAATCTACATTGAACATTTTTGCATTATATGCTGAACAATTTTAAATACATACAGAACACTTTTATGATGTACGTTGAACATTTCTGTAATGTACTTTGAACAAATTTTGAATTGTGAACAAAATTTGAAAACATAATTTTTTTATGAAATCATGAAGAAAATACGAAATTTCAAACTTTTTTGAAACAACGGAAAAATAAAAACGAAAAAGGATAAAATAAGAAGAGGAGTAAAAAAGAAAAAGAAACAGAATAAATAAACTGAAGAAGAAAAGAACAAAGAAACTGGAAGAACAGAAAACCGGCAAAAGAGAAAAAAACCGGTTTAGGGAACCTTCTAGAAGGTTCCCAAAACCGGTTTGCCAGGGACTGCATTAACTAGCAAAGTGGGCCGGCCCATCGCGCGCAGCTACTCCCGCGCTTCAGCGACGTCTCCTCGACGCACGCGAGCGTCAAATAGGAACCACCATAAACATTACTCCATTAGTAGAGTGCTCCCAATTGGCGCCCACGCCGCCACTCCCGTAGGCCGGCCCAACAGTACATCGCTCGCTCGAGTATCAAGCGATGGCCCGGCCCACTTCGCTTGCTCGGTCCCCCTAAAAAAAGGGAACTTGCATGCGCAGTCAACGGTTGACAGGTTGATACTTGATGAGTTGACCAGTCAACCATTCACTTTTTAATAAAATACGAAAATATAAAAATATTCCAAAAATTCAATTTAAAAACACTCATGAATTCAAAATTGTTCACGGAATTCGAAAAAATGTTTAGAAATTCTAAAAAAATGGAGCAAATTTTAAGTTCATCATTTTTTCGTACTTTTTAAAATCCAAAAATTTGAAAAAAGATATCATAAATTTGAAAAAAGTACAATGATTTAAAAAAATTGATTTAGAAAAGAAACATATTTTTTAAAAAAACAACAAACTTGAAAAAATCAGAAATTTGATACAAAATTTCATCAAACTTGTAAGAAAAAGTTCATCGAATTTGAAAAAAGTTAATCAATTAAAAAAATCGATTTGGAAAAAGTTTATTGATTTTGAAAAAAGTCCACTAATCTGAAAAGGTTCATTGATTTTGAAAAGATGTTCACAAATTTGGAAAAAAAAGTTCACGAAACTGAATAAAAGTTTCTTTGATTTTGAAGAAAAAGTTCATGAATTTGAAAAGAATCCACGCATTAAGGAAAAAGATAAGGATAAAGAAAGAAAACAGAAAAAAGAAAAACCAAATAAAACCGTCCAGAAAATAAAAGAAAAATATATATTTTCACCACCGGTGGGATAGCCTATTGGTTAGAGCTCTTTTTTCGTACATGCAGGTTGCGAGTTTGAAGCCAGTGGGTGCACCCTTCTTTTTGGAGTTTACCGAAATAAAAACGTATATGGGTCGGCCTAGGTAAGGGCGCCTTCAACGCCAATTAACAAAATGCATGTTAACAGGGGTCTTTGGCTCTAGTAGATGATCTACTGTTTTAGGATATATGCATTGCTTCAGAGGGCAAGAATGCAGTTGATGAAATCAAAGAGGGATTATGAGGGCTTCATGCGGCAATCATATAGTAGACAGGAAACCGCAAGGAGGACATTTGTGCACCTTCATTTGTGAGAGGAGAAACTTTAATGTTGAAGCACATAATCTAGTTAAGCATCCTTGTTTATCATGACCAGCCACATGGTGGCTGGCCATACCTTATGACCCAATTATTGTACCTATGAACATGCTTGTTAATTAATAAAACTTGACGGGATTTTTCTCAAAAAGAAAATAACACATGCATGATTAGGGAGCTCGCCCTATAAAAGGGAGGCTCGAGTTGTATCACCTAGGTAATGTTGTCTACTGCTCACGACATGTGCCACTGGATGGTACAATTGTGCATGAACTAAAACTGAAATTAAAATTTAAAATGTGTTAGACCCAATGGGTGCTCTATAGTTTCAGGTTACCCGATGGGTTCGGGCATGTGTCTAACTCCATACCTATGGGTGGGGTCATGGGTATAGGATGGATGCGATAGTGGGACTGGTCATGGATCTAGTGAAGGTCGATCCGACCAAACCCAGCCCGATTGCCAAGTTGAGCCACCCCTGAGGTCACGATGTGCATGGGAACATCATCTCTTGCTAAGAAAAATAACTGTTCTATGACACACTCTACATCAAACATGTGATTTAATCACTTGTGCATTGGTGATTCAACCACCCAACCATAAGTTCGTTATTGAAATATCCCCTTCACCTAAAAATGTGTTCTATCTT